ACATTCCCCATGTCGTTCCAGACTCCCATTGACCCTAAAAGGGAAAGCGCTGTGTCAGAGAGGTGGAAGAAATGACCCAGAGATCATGGACAAGACATGGGCTTTACTTAGGACATTACTTACAGGGACGATGGTCTAGGAGCAGCTGGCTGGACAGGAAGAAATGCTTCCGATTATAAAAGGCCCACGGGTTATACAGCATTTTACATAAACGGAGTGCAGGGTTAAGCATGAACAGGGTCGAGTTTCTAGTATGCAGGAGCAGTGTGAGAAAGTGATTATACATATGTCCCCATGTTCACAAAATGGTGGTGAATTCTCTCTGGGGGTCGGATTTTTAGTATTATAATGAACTAAAGGTGAACCGAAGGTAACCAAAGTTTATGGGCCTTGATCTAGGCATGCTGGATCTGGTCTGAACCATCCTGGGGTGGGGTGGTGTTGACTGCCTCAAGGAAGGGCGCGTGAGAAGATTCACTCTGCATAGCCACAAGACATGGTCAGCACTTCACCCATAGCCTCAGCATGACCTACATGCTGCAATCAAGAAGTTGATTTTTCATGTTTTTATTTTTATTTATTTTTGAGTTGGAGTCTCACTCTGTCACCCAGGCTGGAGTACAGTGGCACGATCGTGGTCACACCAGCGTCAACCCACTGGGCTCAAGTGATCCTTCCGCCTCAGGCTTCCAAGTAGTTGGAACTACATACAGGCACACGCTACCATGCCCGGCTAATTTTTTTATTTACTGTAGAGATAAGATCTTGCCAAGTTGTCCAGACTGGTCTCGAACCCGTGAGCTCAGGCAATTCTCTGGACTCAGCTTCCCAAAGGGCTGGGATTACCGGCTTGAGCCACTGCGCCCGGCCGAAAAATCAACTTCTGACTTTTTTTGTCCTTGTTGGCAATAGCTAGAAGAATGTAAATTATGTTTGGGATTAATGTGACCCAAAAGTCTATCTTCTTTCAATTTACTAACTTCTCCAGCAATAAGATCACTTTGACATCACAGCAAAATAAACGATTGTTTTCTGTCAATCCAGCCCCAAGCATGAGCATGTGGGAACTCCAGCAATCTGTTTCTGGAAAAGTCAGTGGGAAGAGAGAAGGGTGAGGAGCCCTTGGTGAGATGTATGGAGGCCTGCTTCCTTCATTCCATCCACAGGTCCTCACTGAGCATGTGAATGGGCTGCATACTGTGCCAGCAGTGAGCAGGACAGCAGCCCTGCCATCCTTGCAGTGAGGGGACAGCGGAGGAAAAGGAGTAAAGAATAAAGAGGGACCCCTCAGGTAGTGATAAGTGTTATCGGAAAATTGAATGTTCTGGAGAGTGGGGGACGTATGTGTGACTTTGGGGATGGGTGTGAGGGAAGACTTCTCAAGGAGAACATCTGCGCTAAAACCCCAATGACAGGAAGAAGGCAGCAGGCGGAGATGGGGAAGCAGATCCAGTCAGAAGGAACAGCGACGGCAAAGGGTGTGGAATCCCAGAAAGAAGACACAGGTGGCTGAAGAGGAGAGTGACTGGAAATGAGTCAAAGAGGGAGGGAGGCCCTGTGAGTCTTTGTAAACTCAGGCAAAGAATGGATAGCCATTGGAGGATTTTCAACAAAGGGAAAACACAACCAGATTTGTTTCCAAAATCTCATTCTGGCTATTATGTGGGAAATGGCTGTTTCTCATGTGCGTTCAAGGTCCTGGTTCAGCTTTGATACCTGGAAGCCTGTGCCTGGTACACCTCTCTCTTCCTTACCAACGCTGACTAGTAACTCATTGGCCCTTGTCCCAGAATTATCTGGAAATTATTTTTAGAAATGAGATTTACTGCCGGGCTCGGTGGCTCAGCCTGTAATCCTGCGCCTTTGGGAGGTTGAGGTGAGTGGATTGCCTGAGCCCACGGGTTTGAGACCCGTCTGGGCAGGTGAGACCTCATCTCTACAATAAATCAAAAAAAATTAGCCAGGCATGGTGGCGCGCGCCTGTAGTTCCAGCTACTTGGAAGGCTGAGGCGGAAGGATTGCTGAAGTCCAGCAGATCGAGGCTGCAGTGGCCGGGAGCAGCCACTGCACTCCAGTCTGGGCGATAGAGTGAGACTCCAACTCAAAAAAAAAAAAAAAAAAAAAGAGATTTACCAACTGGGTAACATAGCAAGACCACATCCCTACCAAAAAATAAAAATAAACACATATGCGCACACGCCAAGTATGGTGTTATAGTGTCGTGTGCCTGTAGTCCAGTTACTTGGGAGGTTGAAGATCATTTGAGCCCAGGAAATCAGGGCTGCAATAAGCCATGATCGCACAGCCTAGGTGATATAGTGAAACCCTGTCTGTAAAACTAAATAAATGAATAAATGGTCAGAAAACCTTTTAATAAAAGTATTAGGCCAGGTGCGGTGGCTCACACCTGTAATCCCAGCACTTTGTGAGGCTGAGGCAAGAGGACTGCTTGAGCCCAGGCAGTTGAGACCAGCCTGGGCAACTTGGCAAGACCTCGTTTCTACAATAAATCAAAAAATTGAGCCGGGCATGGTGGTACACGCCTGTAGTTCCTGCTACTTGGAAGGATCGCCTGAGCCCAGCAGGTTGAAGCTGCGGTGGCAATGAGCATGCCACTGCACTCCAGCCTAGGTGACAGAGAGATTCCAACTCAAAATAAGTAAAAGTATTTATTTTTAAAATCTGCATCATTTACTTCTAAAAAAGCATTTAAAGCCATGGTAATAAAGCCCATAGGCAACAAATGTTTACAATACTGAGTTACAGGTTACAGTATCAGTTTGGGAGACAAATATTGCCATTAAAGGATTATAAAAGGCCAGTTTACTCTAAGAGTTGAGTTTGGCTACACACACAGCCACATGGTGAGTTAAGTTCTCAAAATGTGTTTATATTTATCCACGTTTATTATTTCTCCTGCTCCATCCTCTCCCGGGCCCTCCAGAGAGCCACTATGTGCTTCATTTTGCTGCTCAATGGCACCCCCATCAGAGCCTGAGCAGAAAGGAAGGACTGGAAAGCCTCGAAAAGCTCCTGGTTCAGCAGTTCCAGTGCTGTGAGAATGTCTGTGAGTTGGTATTTGTGTATGGTGGGGGTTGGGGGAGAATTCCTGGATTAAAGTGATGCTTAAATTCTTAATTTAATTATCCATTCCTCTGCACATCTTCAGTGTAGAATCTACACGTACATTCTCTCTCTCTCTCTCTCTCTCTCTCTCTGTCTCTGTCTCTGTTTTTGTCTGTCTCTGTCTCTTGTGTGGCCAGCGAACCACTCAGACCCACAATAAGCAATATGATAATCTTAAAACTAGACAAAGAGTCTAATCTCCATTTTAAATCTCTTCCTCCAGGACTCTTTCTTCTGCTCTAATTCTGCCAGTGAGAATCGCGCAGTCTTTAAGCTCTTTACAATGTAGGTTGTAAGTAACACCATCAGACAGCTCACAGGTAAGGTTCAAAACAGATAGCAAAGGCAGAAGAAAAAACGAGAAACTTTTTATTCTTCCTGCTGGGTGAATTTTAAAAGGCCTTTTACGATTACCTGATTAAAGTTGATTGACAGCTACAAAAGTTTTTTTTATTACAGTTCTTAAAAAATTTAGGAAAACAAAAACACCCCATATTTTAAATAACTTACACAGAAACTATTGTTCCCATTGCTTTCCCCATACTTTTCACCACATCCACTACCTTCAAAACTACTTATGGCCAGCCCTCATTGACACCAAAATATAACAGATTTGCAGCTGACTATGAAAAATGAACGAGTCTGGCAGAAACGCTGAGGAATTTTCGAGGGTTTGGGGAAGGCATCAGAGAACAGACTGCTTTAGTTCTTTGCTTGGTTTGGGCTCCTGATGTTTGTTTCAAATTGCAATGTTGCCCCAAATTATAAATCGCTTACATAATTTAATGTGCAAAAAGCGGGTGCATTGTTTGAAGAATCTGTCATTTGAGCAAATGAGTTCTCAAAGGAAAGCACGTATAGACACTATAAATGGAATCTGCCAGGCATTCCTAAAAAATTTTTTTTACTATAATAGGTGAAAACTAGTCAGGCACATTTAGGAGCAACAGAGACAAAATTTACAGGCTGAATGGAAATAGAAACCTAAGAAAAAATACCTGAGCTGTGTGAATTTAGCATTCCTTAGTTTTTTCCTGTTTCTTTTTCTTCCACATAAAGCCTGGAGAATTTCTTCCAGCTTCCTCAAGAATTGCATCAGCGATCAAACTTGAAATCTGTTAATCACGCGCCCCCCAAACAAGCCGTTGATGCAGAATGGAACCTGCCTCCCTTGCCAGAGTCTTACATAAAATGGGCTGAATCGAGATAAACCTAAACGCTGCCGAGCACCTTGGGTGCTGTCCTGCCTTAACAGGGGCGAAAAGAATGCGCTTCCTTTTCCAGGCCCTCCCAGGACGTCCCCGCAAAGGGATGCTAACAGTGCCATAAGGCCCGTTGGGAGCAGCGGGACCGCGGTTCCTCCTCGGCCGGACGCCGCCCCGGGACTGAACCCCAGCGCCTGAGGTCTGGGGGTTCGCCCCGCACCGGTCCCTCGGGAGACGGGACCTGTGTCCCCCCGAATCCCCTCCAGAGCGGGGCCGGGCCATGCAACCCTGTCTAGAGGAAAGTTCCCGGCGCATTCCAGACCAGACCTGCTGCCGACGTTTCCCTCGGCCGAAAACTTGGGGATTTACAGAGCGCCGGGCCACACTGGAGCTCCCGCTCTGCGGTGAAGGAGCCCCCAGAGTCCACCCGCAACCGGATCTACCGCCACGCGCGCCCACCACCCAGCCCGGGTGCCCTGGGGACGGTCGAGCGACCACCATCAGCGGATGGGGTGGGGGTTCGCCTGCGCCCTATTCCCGGGCACCGCTGGGGGTGGGGTCGGGGGATGTTTGCAAAGTCGCCCGGCAGCCGGGCGCGCCCGCGTCGGCGTGCGCCCTCCCGAGCCCCCGAGCCCCCGAGCCCCTCCTGGCCCGGCTGGGCACGCTCACCTCCACTCAAGAGCACGGGCAGGAAGAGCCCCAGCAGCGGCGGCAGCGCAGCCGGCCCCATCCCGGGGCCGGGAAACTCTCCGGACCCGCTCACCGAGGGACGCCGCGAACCTGCCCAGTCGCGGGCGGAGCGCGCCAGAGAAGCGCCCCAGTCCCGGCGGCCAGGGCCGTGAGCACCGCAGTGGCCGAGCCGCGGCGCCGACAGGAGGCGCCCGGGGCTGAAAGGGGCGGGCCGGGGGCCCGTCCGGGTGGGAGGGGGCGGGAGGAGGGCCGGAGAGGAGGGGCGTAAGGGGGAAAGGGTGGGGG